CTCTCTGTAGAACGTATTTAATGAAGCCATTGAGCAGCAGCAGGGCCCAAATGCACTTACCTGCACCTCTGTGCACAGGACCCCACTCGATTTTTACAGACAGAAGTTATGGGAACTTATCTTCCTGGTGCTGGAACCCTGGGCTGGGTGGTCTGGTGTGGGGCTCCCTTGCTCCTTGCTCCTGAGATATCTCTCCTGATTTTTATGGGACCACCTGTTCTGCGTGTCTGTGTCTCCATGCCTGTCTGCATGTCCCTGCCCCTTTTATCTGTCTGGATGAATGTGGCTTCTTTAATACCTTGGTTGGTGGATTTCTATATGGTTCAATTTTCTGATGATTCTGGTTGACACTTGTTTTGTAGTCTAGTTGTAATTTTTACTGTGCTTGTGAGCCGTGTTTACCGACACCTGCATCTTGTCTGGAAGAGGTAACACCTGTCAGCATTTTTTAAGCACCGCCCTGGGAGGAGACTGCACAGGCTCTACTTTACAGGGTCAAGTATGGTTCTTTGCTGGGATGTGTTGCCTTATAGAAATGCTTTAGGAATGTCCAGTGGGCTCTGGTCTAACCATTAGCCCAACTTATAACCTTGCAATCTCTCATTTAATGTCTATGTGGTCCTACCCACCTAGATGCAGGTAGGCTGCGTGCACCATCAGCTCTGATTGGGGTGCCTGGTTCCATCTCTGTGCAATGAGGGAATTATGTTTCTAAAGCTGTGCTTCTGAATCTTGGGATTGTCAGCCACTACTCGAGCGTGGGCCAGTTGGACTTTACCTTTGGTTTCTCAGATGCCTTTGTGGGAAAGGGATTGGGTGATGGGCTGTGAGGGTGACTTATCTGTATTGTTCTAGGAACCCTGGTTCCTAGGAATAGGAGGAAGAAAGACATAAGAACAGATAACTAATGAGACCCTTATGGTCCAGGCCAGAGCAGAGGTTGGTGTTGTGGGGGGGTATACCCTCTTTTGGAGTTCGTGCATTGAAGAGAAAGAAGATAGAATCACACTGCAGTTGGGAATTTCAAGCTGAAATTCAAATAGGTCAGTAGGCCTCCCTCTGTACAAACTGGTCACCATGAGTCTTTGGATCTGTGGCACTGGCTGGCAGCTGCTGGAGTGCCCCTCTGGCTGCTCATTCTGGCTGTGCTGCTGTTTGTGAGTGTGTATGTGTGTGTCTGTGTCTGCATACACTCATTTTTCAGGATTTATAAGCATTTTTAAAATTTTTCCTTAATGTGTGAGTCCTATGCTTGAGCTGGCAGTCACTTGGAAAGCTCATCAGCTGATGTTTACCCATCAATATGGAAATAAAGGTTGTCCAATTCCAAGGTAACAGCCCCCTTGGTTGCGTACCCATCATAACCCACCAAGGATATTAATGAAGAGCCTTTATTCACTCCATAGAAAGGTCCATGTCCCAGGACATGTCTTTAAGCTTGTCTTTAGGAAGCAAACAGTGAACCTAGGAGTGGCGTGGGCATCCATGCTGCAGGAGGAAAGACTGGATCGTCGAAGAAGGGATGAGAGTGTTGGGAACATGGATGGGAGCAGGGGTAATGTTTAGACAGCCATTAAAAGCACCTGGGGCTTCTCATCATGCTCCTTCTTTTTGGGTTTGAGATATCTTTGCATCCCTCTCCCCCCAGGAGTTGGCCTAAACTACCCTGTGTACAAGTAAACTTCCTTTTCAAGTGTGGCTTTGAGATGAGGTCATATCTTTTCATTATTGTTGGTAAGGGTGCTTTCAGCTGCTTAAAAGAGCAATTAGTCTCTATTTCTACTCCAGGAAGCTGGTTAGGATGTTTCCTCTTGAGGAAGTTATTTTTAAAGATGCCATTATGATGAAGCATTCAACACTCAGAAAATAAGGGTGGGGGGCTGCACAAGAGCGGAGGTACAGAAGGCAGCTGCTCCTCCCAGGGCTGGCCAAGTTCATCAGACAGACAGCAGCTGCCTGCCTCCAGCACCCCCACACGCAAATGGTGCCAGGCAACCTTGCCCTCACTGCCTGTTATGACCCAGATATTCCTCACTGTGATGAGAATATCAGACTGTGGGGGCAGCTACCCAGACATGCTGGCAGCTTCCAAATGGTGAAACAGTGACAGCTTGTTTCTGAAAAGCTCAGAAAGGCAACCTTGGGTTTTGATAATGGAGCCTAAACATGATCGTGCCTCAGGACAGCCTTCCGCTTGCTGTGGGTAATTGTGCATTCGGTGGTGCAATCCGATTGCTTTGAAACTCAGATGAAAAAAATATTGTGGGCTTTTGCGAGGGTGCTAAGTGACAGCCTTAAAAGAGAGGCCGTAAGTTCTGTCCTCCAAACTTACCTTTGGGATTCGAGAACTGAGAAAAGCAGTGGAAACAGAATCCCGTCCCCCACACCCCACCTTTTATGCCAAGGCTACCTAAATGGTGGCTGCCGAGGAGCGGTCGTCCGGCGTTTCATTCTACCTCCCCGGAGAGCCCCTGGGGGTATTACTCACTCAGAACCTCTGGCTCTGATACTCACCTGCTCTTGTCTCCAGGTGTTTGTCGGAGCAAAGGACAGCCTTTCCACTTTCAGGGTCTCCACACACAGGAATCTCATCACCTCTGGTCTTTCTCCACCCCTAAATGGTTCATACAGACGAACAGGGGTGGTGGAATGGGGAGAAAGAGAAGGAATGAAAAAAGACTTTTTCTCTGCCAGATAAGCGGTATTTCTTGTATCGTACTCTTTCACAGATATATTTTATTCGGCAGTCCCTGGCCTCTGTGAGCATGGTGTTCATGTTTCTTTCTGACCTGAGAGAGTGACAGGAAGGCCACGGATGGGGGCCGGCACTGTGCACAGACGTGCAGAACAGCATAGCCCAGGGCTTAGACAGAACATGGAAAACCTCTCCCAGCTTTATTTTTATTGTTTTATGTACTCTTTGCTACTTTTCTATTAACTCTTTTGACACTAGATGAAGCCTGGTGCTTCCTTCTGCTCTATTTATTACATTGTCCATAATACTGATTTCCAGTAAAATGATGTGACCAGAGCAGACTTCATTATATTTCCCTTAAACAAAAAGGAAGACAGACTATTGTCATATTTTTGATGGAACAGCATGAATTCCATGATGTACATGTTTCTCATTGTAACTTTAAAGCCATCTGATGTGGATCCTGGCTCCTGGGGTCCGTGGTGTTATGGATGAGACAAGACAAATTCACATGGACTACTGAGTCCTGTGGAGGAAAAAGGATGGTGTGGCTTCTCTCTCAAGGGGAGAAAAGGCCTTGGAGTGCCTCGGCCACCCTCTCAAGAGGAGGGCACTTTGACAGGCTTTTATTGGCTTCCATGTGCATAGGAATAAAGCTTATCAATCACTGTCAAGCAGAAATGATTAAACAAGAGATAACATTCAAAGAACTCTGAGGCCTTATTCTGAGTCAGGGTCAGATAGTTAAAGGGCCATAAAACTTTGGGAAAACAAACTTATTTCAGGCTTGGACCCTTATCATTTAAATTGAGGGTATTAGTGAAGTAGGTTTCATGGGATTTTATGCATTCTTTCTTAGGCCTGATCACTCTAGGGTACCCGCCCTTTCCAGCACAGGGCGGCACCCACTTCCAGCATTGTTTCAGGCTTAAGACATTGTTTCAGGCTTGAGTCAGGCAGGGGAAGTAAGGCAGCCAGGAGATTAGGAGACTTCTTTCAGACAGAATGAGGACTCAGGCTATGCCAAAGCTGAGGGGTGAGGGTCCATCACCCCCTTTTTCTATAGCCCCTCAAGTCCTTCCCTGAGGGCCCCTTCATGACTGTGTCTCTTAGGTCATCCCTCTTTTGAGGAATCTTACCCATCATTGGCTAACCAGACATCTGCCTGGGGCCACGTAGGGTGAAGAGAAAGGGGGCAGAGGTGGTTCCCCTACAAGGAAGATAAGCTTTGTCTCCTAAGTGACTTATCGTCCCAAAATTCTTTACTAAGCCTTAGCTGTGGGGGTTTCAGCTTCTGAAACCAGGCAGGGCAGTTCCCAACATCTGTCACGTAAACAAATGCCTTCTGAGTTATTTTTATTATAATTTCATTCATTTTTCTAGAACACATAGATCAATTACCTACATGGTGAATTTGGTGGAACCTGCTGACAGGGGAGTTGGTGATGTCGAAAGAACAAACCTAGACTTTTCTATCCCAGACCAGCATTTCTTATTTAATAATAATAGTCCTGGCTACTATTTATTGATCTAACCTGGGCCCTGGCTACTCACATGTTATGTAATATCACATTTAGTCTTCAATGGCAATTTCACAAAGTAGGTACTGATATCATCTTCATTTTCTTGGTGGAAAAGTTGAAGCTCAGATCACTTTTGTCCATAGCTCTAGAGGAGGGATTGGCAAACTCTTTCTATAGAAGACCAGAAAGTAAATATTTTAGCCTTTGGGAAATACTATGTCATAATACTCAGCTCTGCTATTGTAATACTAGAGAAGCAAAAAAAAAAAAAAAAAACCCCACAAAAACAAAAAACAAAGCCAAGCAAGGGATACTGTGTTGAATAAAACTTTATTTATGACACCAGTATTTGAATTTCATATAATTTTCTCATGTCACAAAATATTACTATTCTTTTGACTTTTTCCAACCATTAAACACTGTAAAAATCATTCTTCACTTGCAGTCTATGAAAACAGGTGGTGGGCGGGATTTGCCGACCCTGCTGTAGATGATGAGCATATGCAGGGAGGAGGGATCGGCTAGCACAGGTGGCAGGAAGGGCACTCCCACCAGAGGGAACAGCACGTGTGCAGGTAGCAGAGCTCAGAGCGTGTCTGAGCAAATGCAGTCAATGAAAGTACAGTTTGATAGGGCATGTGGGACGGTCAGTGGAGACATTAGGCCCAAGTCGTGACCTTTTAGGACATTTTAAGGATTTTGGACTTTGTCCTTAGATCAATAAGGAAACATTAAAGTATTAAGCAAAAGAATGACAGGGACAATTTGTTTTTTTTTTAAAGGTCATTGGCTGATGTGTAGGGAAAGCGTTGCAATAAGTTCAGAAGAGTAGAAGCAAAAACACCAGTTTCAAGAAGTGGTCCAGGTGGGTGTTGATGGTGGCTGTTAGTGACTGCAGCTGGAACCATGTCCTGGCAGTCGGGTGACCTGGGTGACCCCGGTGACGGGTTTTGCAGATGGGGTCAGCGTGGCTGGGAGAGGGGAGAGTCTTGCCTGGCCGCACAAGAAGTGCAGGTAGAGCAACCACAAAGCCCTGGTCTTCCAACTTCATATGCACTGACTCATTCCCTGTTTGGTGTGAAATTTGTAACATTCCCAAATAGAAATTATGTTTATCCTAATCCACCATTTGTCTCTGAACCCTATAACTGAAGAGCAACTCCTCTCTCTGTCTCTCATAAAATTCTCATAAATGAGGATAGTACCTCTTAGGTCTGTGTTGTTAATTCTCATTTCCTGAGGAAATTAATTTTGAAGTTGAGGGAAATAGCCCTCTTGTTCAAATAAGAGAGCAGCCAAAGATGATATACTGCGGTGATGGTCTTATGTTATTTTTGTGCTGGCATTAGAAAGGTAGCTGAATACTTATTTAAAGGTCAGCTATTCTAAAATTTGTGTAGCTTTCTTTCTCAAATGAGAACTGGTACATTCTCTTCTACTTTGGAGGAGTAATTCACCTGGCGCCGCACTCGGAGTCATGCTCAGACCCTGACGCTGGCACGCAGCTCTGGGTCAGGGCACCCCCTTTCTTGAACGAGGTGGTGCTGAGGGGGTGAGTCTGTTTCTGTAGCAGGTGGGGAGGAGGGAAAGGGGAGACTCGTGCCTTGGCGCAGAAGCATGGCAGAGGGTTTGCTTCAGTTTCTCTGGGGGTCGTGCTCTAGAGGTGGCTGATGCTGACCTGTGGTAGGGGTGGGAGAGGGGGAACCTCAGAGGGAGTTTGGTGGGTGGGCCCCAGCGGTAGTGACTGCTCAGTGAATCTTAGTTTTGGCTGGTATTTCATTCAAATTACACTTTTTGTCAGGTTTTATTCCTTCCCCGTTGTAAGGGAAGGCCTGTGGTGTCCTGGTGTCTCAAGCATCTCCTCCTATCCCATGTCAATCAGGTGTTTCATCAACAAAAAGTATTTATTCATGAAAAAGAAAAGGTTTCCACCCAGGGCATTCACACCGGCCAGCCATATGCACAGTCTGGCCTGCGTGCCAAGGTGGAGGAGTCTTTACAGAGGGGAAGAGGGAGTTAAGAGGCGGGGACATTAGAACCACAGAGCTTTATTATGAACTTAGAATTCTTCCTGTAGAGTTCTTGAGTGCAGGGTTCTTGGGATTACACAGAGTGTGAGAACTTCTGTAGGCCCTAGCTCAGCACAGACCCTCCCGACTTGCGACTTGCATTTGCTCCAAGTCCCAGTTCGTCTTTACCCCCCATGGTGTGCAGTGCCTTGTCTACAGCAGGCACTCGGTATTGAATACTGGCGCTGCTGACTTGTCACCGTTGGTGTCCGTGCTGCATCGTGCAACCTGTTCTCTCAAACAAGTCAGAATTTTCTAATCTGAAATCATCGGAGAGAAGACACTTGGAACGTTCTGAAAACAGGACAAACTTTAGGAGTGGGCGAGAATGAGACTTCCATTGAGGATCTTCTCCCACTTTTCTGCTTTTCTTGTCCACTTCTCTTTTTTCCACCCCATTCCATTGACTTAGGCTGCATGTTTTTATTGTTGCACAGCAGGGGCTCAGTAGAGAAAAACTGAGTTAGTTCACTTCTGATTCTGATTTTATTCATTCTGTGTCAGCTCTTCACCTGCTCACACAGGTCCAGGTGGTGCGGCTGAAGATGTACACTCAGAGACATTGATGCGCTCCCTCCTTCCTTCCCTTCCCTCTTTCATCAGTTCTCGGAAGTTGACTATGTGCCAGGCACGGGGTTAAATTTTGGGGGACAATGACAGAAAAAGGCATGGTGTCCAACACCAAATACATTCCGTTCTCGTGGCAAGAGAAAAGGAAAGAACGGTCATTTGGTGTGAGGTATGGGCCCCCATGCGGGCCTCTCCCTGACCAGGTGGATAAGACCTCCCTGAGGGCTTTTTCTGCTGAACTCCCAAGAGTGGTCAAGGGCAATCAGAGTACCTGCGTAGTTGCAGATGAATTAACAGGTTCTGCACTTGCCTCTCTCCATTTGTGCAGAGTGGAGATGGCTGCCCAGAGGTTAATTTCTAACAGAACGTCTCAGCAGTCTGCAGCTAATTCTGACTACACCTGGGAATATGAGTACTACGAGATTGGACCTGTTTCCTTTGAAGGACTGAAGGCTCATAAATGTAAGTCTTATACAACTCTCCATTGTGAGCATAATATGAATCTGTCTTAACCTGTGAAATCTCCAGTGATTACTTATTCCGAACATTCTCTCTTATAGAATCTGTTCACCAAAACCTCAAACAACACCTCCTCCAAACACAGACCGGTTGCTCAGGGATGGTAATACATGAGGGCCTTGGTGATTCTGAGTGACAAGGAACTTGAAAGATTCGCTTAGTGGGGGAACATGAACCAATATCATTCTTAAACCGAGATGTTTTATTAAAACACTAACAATTCCAGCTCTCCCAAACTGTGTGGACATTTGGATTATCAAAAGGTGACAAAAGTGGAATCTGGAACTCGTAATTGAAGAACCTTGTTTTGTAACATATGGTCAACAGCATCTCTCTGCTCCCTTGGTTTTCTGGAGCTGGGGCAGTGGTCTATCTGTGTGTGTTCATGACGATGGGCAAGAATAGCCTGCAACCCTTCCTAATTCTGTGTTTTGTGGGTTGTGTGGTGTGCTGTTGGAGTGACTGATGACCCAGCACAGAGGAAGGAAAAATAATCCTGTGAAAGGTTACTGTCCACCGCCAGTCATAGCTGAATGCTGGCTGGCCGGTAGGAAGCTTCTTCGTGTCCGTAAACAGAATCGACGGAATAAGCGGAAACAGCTGCCCACTCCCAGGTCCTACTGTGGCTACACCATCAATACTCTCGAGATGGTTGCTTGTTTCAGAATGAATATCCACAGCACTGCCAACATTTTAGGTCTGTGACTGGTTCAGACTAATGGGACACCTTAGAAAGTATATGACAGGTTAGAATTGGAGAGGCAAATGTGGCAAAGGAGGTGCTTTCGTTCTTTTAGCGTTTCCTGGCCGATACCATGCTGACCTGTCTCCGCATTTGTGATCCTACCCACCCATTTGCTGCTCCTGTGCAAGGGGGACTTTCTTTTTTTAGCTTTTTAAAGGTTTCCATTAAAGGTCTCCTTTAATTGACAAATATATATGTAATGTACTTAAAATGTACAGTGAGGATTTGGATATTTGTGTACATTATGAAAGGATTTCCCTCATTGAATTTATTAACATATTAATAACCTCAGATATTAATTAATTTATTTATGACAACATTTAAGTTCTATTCTCTTATAAATTTCAATTATACAATACAGTGTAATTAGCTATACTTATTCATTTTATAGCTGAAAGTTTATACCGTTTTACCAGCATCTCCCTGTTGCCCCCACTCCTTACTCAGCCCCTGGCAACCACTTTTCTACTCTCTGTCACTAGGAGTTTATTATTCTTTTTAGATTTAGATTACTTTTGGGATATATATCCATCAGTGAGATTGCTGGTTCTATGGTAGTTATATTTTAAATTTCTTGAAGAACATCCATACTGTTTTCCACAGTGGCTGAACCAGTCTGCATTCCCACCAACAGTGTACAAGCGTCCCTTTTTCTCCCTATCCCCGCCCGCATTTATCTCTAGTGTCTTGACAACAGACATCTTAACAGGTGTGAGGTAATAGCTCATTGTGGTTTTGATTGGCATTTCCCTGACAATTAGTGACAGAGTACCTTTTCATGTACCTGCTGGCCATTAGGATGTCTTCTTTGGAAAAAATATCTCTTTAGGTCCTTTGCCCATTTTTAAATTGGGTTTTTTTTTTTTTTTTTTGCTATTGAGTTGTATTAACCCCTTATCAGGTATGTGGTTTGCTAATATTTGCCCATTCTGTATGCTGCCTTTTCATTTTTTTTGCTGTGCAGAAGCTTTTTAATTTGATATTGTACCATTTGTTTATTTTTGTTTTTGTTACTTTTGCTTTTGGTGTCAAATTCAAAGAATCATTTCCAAGACCTGTGTCAAGGAGCTGGCCTCCTGTGTCTACGACCACTACTTAAAACTCTACTGGGTAAATAACTCACCTCTCTTTCTTTAAGATCCGTTTCTGGAGATTTATCTTATTCTTTTGTTTGAAGCATATACCTCTATTTCTTCATTTTCCTTGACTCTGTGTGAGGTTTCCAGGCATTAGATACAAAAGCCACCTCTGCCAGTCTTGGTGGAGTGGCCTTGCACAGGAGATGAACCCTGTCGTTCAGCCAGCCCTGTTGTCTCTCGAACTTCGATGACCGTCCAAGCAGCCGTCTTTGTTTTCAGTGGCTCCCAGGAGTTGGGGTGTGTCAAGTCCTTTCTGTGTCTCAAAGTGGGGGAACATGGTCAGCACTTAGATGCAGTCCAATTAGAAGCCAGACCCTCAGGCAGCAGCTAGGAAAGTATGTAGTTAAATCTTTCCAGGGAGAAACTGGAAGATGGGCCTTATGTATAGACATGAGGGGAACTGCACTTGTTAAGAACTGCTTCTTCGTTTACTGCAGTCCTGTGGGACTCGGGAATGCAATCTGCACTGCCTGTCAGAGCCAGGAGATCCCTTGGGCAGCTGCTGCAAAAGCTGGGCCACCAGACCTGTGCACAACCTCCTTCCAGGGCGATATGGCAACATGGTTTTATTATTGGAGTGGGGTGGAGGGAGAGGGATGCGGAGGTGTCCAAAGGCTTCTCTGGGAAGGACCACAGCCGGCCCCTAACTGCCTGCTAAATTAGAAGCCTGACCCTAAGGCAGCATCTTTTAGAGTAAGCCAGGTAAACCCCTTTCAAAGAAAGACAGGGAGGTGGGTGTTTTTGCCAGGTTCCTCCGCACTGAGCCCTGGAGGACAGCCATGGTAGGTAGGGCCTGTGGGCTCGTGAAGGCCTGCTTTTTGTTTGCTGTAGTCTTGGGGTTCTCATGGATGCAAGATGTTTTGGGGGCTCATCTCTAGTGAGAGTCTTAAAAGTTGAGGCTCCAGATGTACAATCCAAACCCTTCCCTCCCTGGGGAGAAGGTGGGAATTAGGGTTCTGCCCCGATTGTATGTTGTCATGCTGGTGGTGGGGTTCGTGGCAAATGTGTGTCTCAGCATTTTCCTACCCATTTAGGTGTGGGAGTGTTCTTATTTGCCGGATGTGCAGGAGCTGACCCGCTGTTTCCGGATCTCTTTCAGAGGAAACTGCTCCATGTGTAGCCCTGTGTTTGGTGCACCCATGTATGTAGAGGGAGCTCTGGAGTTTCCTTGTTTCCCTCTTGGTCAGCTCCCCCCTTCAGCTAATTAAGTGGCTTAAGCTCTGTTTCCATTCCCCTGCGCGGAAGGACCGTAACCACCCAGGGCTCGTATATACGACTTAGATGCCACTTTTCACCGGTGGCTGCAGCAGAGCCTTCAGCCGGGCAGTTGAGGGGCGGACAGTAACACTCCCGCCAGTTCCCACCCTCTGCTCTCCGTCAGTGGGTCCTCGAAGGGCTTCAGAATTACTCACTTCCCGGACAGGGCTTTCTATTTTTGTTCCTTAAGAAATCATTAACTAAACTACATATGCTTTCCCCCTGAAGTGAGTAGTAATAATGAGAGTTTTCACTCATTCCTTTCTTGATGTCTGCTCAGGACTTCTTTGTGGAAATTAAAAAAAAAAAAGAAGGACCTGGAACCTGGTAGGATATGTTGCCGTTGGCCGTCCGATGGAGGGCTGTTTGTGGCTGGCTGTGAGCCTTCCCTTCTTCAGTTACTTCAGTTCTTTAATCTGCTGTTTTCCTGGGACAGTCTTCAAGTAAGGGCACTTGCTTATTAAGAATTTTAGTGGATATCAAAATGACTGGACAAATAGCCATATATATATATATATACATATATACATATATATATGTATATATATATATATATACATATATATATAGTAATATGGGCTTTTATACCTTGGTGACATATATTTTATTTTCGTGTTGGTTTGCTCTGGCCTCTTGTCCTTAATTTAAGGGGCAGAAAAGACAGACCTGCTGCTGTAATTTTGCTTGGTCACATTTCCAGAGACCACTGAAAATGTTTTTAAAGCATATTACATTCTAGAATTGCATATAGCTGGAAAAATTTTCTGCAAAACACAGGCAGACGTGCGACACGTTCCATCCTTACATACCATACCACTGCCGAGAAGCGCACCTGGTAGTTTTAACACTCCCATCAGGAGAAACCAGAACTGCCTGGTTGAGTCCTTACTGTTCTGATTCAGTAAGAGATTTGGTTAATGTGAATGTCCTTAGCTTCAGGACATTGAATGACAATAAATAAGAGATGTAAGAAAGAATAAAACACTTTAAAAAATCCTCCCTACATTTAGAAAAATAAAAAAGGAGTCAGGTTTTTTAAATGTCACTGTGCCCTGGGGCTCAACTCTGGACCTCTGTGTTTTTCTGCCTACACTCATTCATCCATCTCTTGGGTGTGAATATCATGTATATGCTGATGACTCTCAAATTCCACTGAATTCCTCCCCTCCCCTGTCTCCTCAGATGTCTGACAGGTTTCAGTGTAACAGATCCCAAACTGAGCTCACAACGTGCCTGCTTCTCCTACAGTCAACCCCAATAGAAAATAGTAAACTATTTTACTGTGTACATCCGTGTAGTTTCTTCTATTTTTAAAATGATATGATTCTGACCTTCAAGTATGTCTCCTTGTTTTGCTGAGCAAAATTCAAAGCCAGTGAGGTTCAAGTTCAAAGGAAGAAAAGGAAAACATTTCAAGGTCAGGACAACAAGGTTCATAGCCATTATCTTCATTCATTTGCTTTACCTGTAACACCTGACAATTGACAATAATAGCTATATCCTTAACTGGATTAAGTTCTCCTGCCTGCTAAAATTGAGATTCCTACCTTCAAAGGGTCTTTCGTCTGAGAAACAGACTTTGATCGTCATTCAAATTTTCTTTTGCCCTTGGTTTTTAATCTGGTATTAAACCATACAACCTATCAGAAGTGGACATATGTCTGACATACTTGTGGCACTAATGGAGTGGACACTCATTCATTCAGCACATGTGTACTGAGTGCCTATTTTGTGCAGTACTATTTTAAGCATTGGAGATACAAGAGTGAACAGAAAAGACAAAAACACCTACTCTTATAGACCTTGCCTTGTAATGGGAGAGACATACAATAATCAAATTAAATAATCAAACTATGTCAGATGGTGATAAAAAAAGGAAAAATAAAATAGGGACAGAATGAGGAGTGTGGAGACAAAAGTATAGTGTGGCCATGGAAGGCCTTAGTGACAGAAGACCTTAAAGAAGTAAGAAATTGAGCTGTAAGATAGCTGGGGAAGAACATTCCAGAAACTTCTCTATGCAATTGTGAAATGCAACCTGCAAGTAACAACAAAGAGACCAGCCTGGGACCAGAGGAGTCATTAAGAGGCAGAGCATCAGGAGATGAAGTCAGGTAACGGAGAAGAGGGTGTCAAGGCTAAGGACTTCGGCTTTTTTGGTGGTGGCGGGGGAGTCATTTGAGGGTTTGGAGAAGAGGAGTGGCCTCTGGCTTAGCTTTCAGTAAATCCACTCTGCAGCCAAGGAAGGCAGGGGCTGAGACTGGAAGCCATGAGGATTGGCCCATGGTGGGTGGGCAGTGAGGTAATGAGAAGTTTCTAATTCTCGATAGGATTTGTCAATGGTTGGCAGTGGGGTGAGAGAGAAAAAAAAGAGCCCAGGATGACTGGGTGTGTGACCTGAGTAATTGCTAGGATAACTTGCCATTCATTAGCTGAGATGGGGTCGACTGTAGGAGAAGCAGGCACGTTGTGAGCTCAGTTTGGGATCTGTTACGTTGAAACCTGTCAGACATCTGAGGAGACAGGGGAGGGGAGGAATTCAGTGGAATTTGAGAGTCATCAGCATATACATGATATTCACACCCAAGAGATGGATGAATGAGTGTAGGCAGAAAAACACAGAGGTCCAGAGTTGAGCCCCAGGGCACAGTGACATTTAAAAACTGGGGGATGTTGAGGAGACAGCAGCAACAGAGCCTGAGTGGACTTCACAGGAAGACTGGCAGGAGACCGGGCCACTGTGGTTTCCTGGAAGCCAAGTGAGGGAGGGTCTGAGACCCTAGTCCAGGTCCAATGCTACTAGGTCGAGTTAGCTGAGGGACAAGCGTTAACTGTTGGATTTAAAGTGGAGACATTATTGGCAATGATTTTAAAAGCAGTTTTAGTGGACTGGTGAGAGGGAAAGGCTGATGGAATGGGTTCAAGAAAAAAATAAGAGAAGAAAAATCTCTCAAGAATTTTGGTATGAAGGGAAGAAGAGAAATGGGACATTTATGAAGGGCTTGGCTGGGTGAGACTGGATACTTTCAGAGAAACAGAAGCAAAAGCCTGTAAGTCGATGACTGGACATGGCTACGCCTTATCGGGACCGTTCTGGCTGCTGCGTGAGGAAAGGCTGAAGGAGCATCTGTTGTTCTGAGCCGTCACTGGTGGCCACATTCCATGCTTTTATCCTGTGCCAGCTTGCAGATACCACCTGGTATGATGCATGCATGGATGAGTCAGCTGGAGGAGGGGTCCCTGAGCTGAGAAGCAGAGCCGGAGCTCTGAAGACTTGAGTAAGAGGCGACATTGGGAGCGCAGCGCAGACAAGTGCCTGAACGTTGCTGTCTGTGCCTTGCCCGGAATTCCTGCCACAGAACTGACCCTAGTGCCTTAGGAGCCGGAAGTGTTGCAGGGACAGTGCTAGATCTGGTGTCCTGAATCCTCTGTTTCAAATTAAACAGTATCCTTTGTTTTTCATAACACCACAGGATGCAAAGGTCACAATTTATTCCTAGGAGACGGAGAGGCCGGGTGATGGGGTGGTGGCTACATGCACAACAGCACCATCCTACCGAAAAGCATGCACCTGTCAGCTTTCAGTGCTCCTTTCACTGACTGTTTCATTGTTTCCTTTCATTCACTGCAGGTCAGGTTGAGGGGAAATTACTTTATTATGACACACCCCATTTGGAGTTCCTGTGGCAATTTTCTCTGCCCCCTTACAGCAATGCTTTCTCAGTAACCCAGTCTCTGGACAAGCAAGGCTTCTCTTGGCTTCCTTAACCGCGGGACTCATTCGAACCTCACTCTATATAACCTCACTCTATATTCGAACCTCTTTGCTGACTTCCTCCCAGGAAAGGGGGTTTGAAGGAAGACCAGGGGCTGTGTGTTCCCATTTTACCACAGTGCCCATGCCCTTGAAACGTGGCATAGAAATAAAATTTCAAGAGAGTTCCTGTTCCTGGGGTGAGATGGGGATCTCCCACCCTCCCAGAGAGGGGCTTCGGGTGAGAAGTACCCTGGGATGGGCCCCGCAGCAGAGGGTGGGGTAGAGGAGAATTAAAGGAAATAATTGGAGGAAGCAGAATTTTGTGTGAAGGGGAATGTGAGAAGCAAAACTACATCGAGGATAAATGAAACCTATCGTGATGAGCAACACAGATGCCACATGGTCAAGGGAACATTTGGAATACAGAGGTTCTCAAATTTTAACCACAGAACCTCTGTACTCTGCTCCCCCGCGATCCTCCGAGGGCTGGGACCCTCCCCTGCCCTCATTACTATTGCTTTTTGATCAGCTCCCTGGGGCACTGGCAGGGCGGAGGGAGGGGTCTGGGCTGGAGGAGAGGCACCCACTTCCACCTCCGCCTGCCCTGGGTTTGGGGAGCGCGGGGCTGATGGAGGCGCAGGTACCTGCTGCAGTATGAAAGCTGTCCGCGTGCGAACCCCTTCCCAGCGGACAGATTTGAAACATGAATTAATTAGATTCAGTTTGCAACTGAGGACTTAAATGGAATGCTGGGTGTGTCATTTTCAGAATTTGCTTTCATTCGGCAGCGGAGGAAGCACAGCGTGCCGGCCTTTGTTCCTGCGGTGTTTCCCGGTCTCTGCCCCGGTAGTTGAGGTGTTACTGTTACATCTCGGTTGCCTTTGTTTGCATGTGTTTTTTGGAACTTGTCCTTATTTCTTTTTTAGGTTTCATTTCCATTGTATTATAAGGCCAAAACTACGATTTTTGTTTCTTTGGCATATTTAACCCCAGGAGAGATACATCAGCTTTGCACCCAGAGTGCAGACTATTTAGCACATCATTGAATGAAAGTTGTTCACCTTTGGGCAATGGTATATGTGGAATCAAAGTATGAATTACACAGAGTAAACCGCTAATCTGATTTCTTCACTGTAGAAAAAATGAATTAGAACTTAATTATAATAATGCTTTGCATTTAAACACACTTAGTGTCTAAGCCATTTATTATTATTTTTTAATTACTAGGCATTCTCACTGTATTCCCACATAGGTTAACTTCTTAGAGTAAGTCAGATAATGTAAAATAATTCAGCTGTGTTGTCTCGCCCGGACCTGAGACCCTATTATGCAGGTGCAGGTTCTGTGGACAGTCCAGTCTCATCCCAGTCCCAGAGACATGCCCCTGTGACTTACGCTCGGGAGGGCCCATGGGGAGAAGCACAGGCACAAGGCCCTGGGGCTCAAAGGAGGGAGGAGAGAGCACAGCAGCTGGCGGGGCTGGTCCAGGAGTGGTGAAGAGATGGTGTACTGACCGGGCTTGAAGGGTGCGTGGGCTTGCATCAGCTTTTTGGGGGGGAGGATGTTATTCTAGTCAGATAAAGGTAAGAGCCCCTAAAAAGGCCTGGGGATTAGAAAAGTGTCGCTGGGAGTTAAGGTAACTACAGGGACACAATGTCTCCTAGTCTGGATTGGAATCATGGGTTTTAAAGTAGGAGTAAGCTGGGAGAGAATAATTTTAACAGTGATGGCTGGCAAATGTGGGGTACCTTCTTCTCAGGTGCCAGACATTGTATAAAGTGCTTTACCTATGGAATCGCTTTCAACCTGCAAGAGGTCAGGTCTAGCTGTGTTGACGAGTGTTTCATAGAAGAACCATGTTGTAAGAGCTGGGGTGGAGCAGGTCCGTACAGAGATGAAGGTGGAAGATGGTGTGGGAGGCCGTTCGTGTGTTCTCAGGGAGAGGTGATGAGAACTATTTCAGCATGAAGCGAAGTGAAAACACAAAGTTGGGTCAGTTCGAATCACCATTCACTTTAATGTCTATATTGTGGTTTCTGCTAAAGACTGCATTCTGTCCCTCAAGACATTTCAGTAGACTCTTGGGGACCCAGATGGCCTTTGCTGCGTCCTAGGTTCCTTACTGGGTTATGGAAACCAGTGGTGAGACTGCCATCTATTAGTGTTATCTGAGACCGGAACCTGGAGGTGACACAGATTCTTCTCTGTCCCTCATGCCTTACGTTTTGTCTGTCCCTAGCTGATGCAGGGGTCGAGATTGTCTCCTAAGATTGTTGACATCCTATCTCATTTCATATACCCCAAAAGCCCAGATTTCTTGAATGCTCAAGTTCTCAGCTGCTGCAAAATACTAATCGCATGTTAACTGTCTTGCAGATTCCATTGTGATTGGATTTTGGGTTGGTCTCGCAGTCTTCGTGATTTTCATGTTTTTTGTGCTGACTTTGCTGACCAAGACAGGAGCCCCACACCAAGAGTAAGTTTGGGCTGTTCCTAAATATCTGTTAAGCCCCAGAGGGAACTGAGGAAACAGGAATAGTTACAGACAGCGACCTGCCCCAAGTGCTTGTGGGCGGGGTCTGCCTCCCTCCTGGCCTCCTGCCTCGGGGCTGTTTGCAAGTGGGTCCTTGTGAACCTGGGTTCTGGGGCCTTTGATACAGCCCTACTGCTGGCTCAGGCCTGACTTTTATGATGAAAGACTGATGGAATAGAATACATTTTCTCCTTAGTCCCAAAAGAATTTAGATGACTCACCAGACTAAAAACAGTGAATAAAGACAACAGCAAAACAGGATGAAAACTAGTTTTAAAAAACATTTCAAGGAGTAGAGAAATAGTTGTTACTGAGTGTTCGATTGAAATAATCATTGACAATAAATAATGAGTTCAATGCTGAGTTTCCTTGGAACTAGGATAAAAAAGGAAACTTCAAAGATTATGTGATTCTCATAGCAGAATAAAGAACATTTTTCTTGGGCTTTGGATTTGAGGAGGAAATTATTACAGGAGTGCTTAAAGAACACGGAGTAACATCAGAAGGTAATTGTTCGATTATGGCATCCAAAAATCTCAGAAATGTTTTAGAGATTTTTTTTTATCCCAACTCTTTTAAAAAGGGGGAAAAGGACATGCGTTGGAACCTTTGTAGTGGGCCCCAGCAGGCACAGGCAGCCGCTCGCATCAGGGAGTTAGAAGAGCCTTTGATGAAGGGACTGTCCATATGTCGTGGCCAGAGAGAGAGAAGCCCCACAGGACAGAGCAGCAGCCCAGGGCTGTGGATCCTGAGGAGTAGCTGCCGCCCTGATCTGAGGGCGGCCTGACTGGGAGTCCTGCTGAGAAGGCGAAGATAGGAGAGAGGAGCTGTGACCTTGGAGAGAGGGGCACAGACACCCAGTGTGATCTCTCAGAGAGGTAGCCTCCAAGATGGATACCCACACCTCACTTTCCTGCCTCCGTCCCTCCCATCCCTCACCATTGCTCCCACTGGTGAAACACAACAACACAACCAGCAGCCAAAGCCTCCATCAAAGTCAGGGAGGGTGGAAGGGACCTGGGGAGTAGTGGAAGAAATGTGTCACAATTCCTAATCCTTTAAATTTAGTATCTCACTGAATGCGCATAGCCTGACAGCAGTGTTCTTTTTATTGCATTTCTCCTTATAGTCTCCAGTGCCTGCCATTCGGTCTGTAGCCTACACTTGAACTATAACAAATGTCTGAGTACAGGGAACAGTTCTGTCCATAACTCAGCTATTTCCAGACATCAGGGTCTGGAAAAAAATTAAACTCCTTTTACACAAAAGGAAAATACCGTTTTCACGCAGCATCTGGAGACATAATGTTGAGGATCTGTAACAGCCACTGAAAAGGTGTGAACTTTCCCCTCTCTCTCTCCAAGTCCTCATAGACATTTACACATGCCTCTGCTTCTGGTATATTGGTCCATGGGATTTGAAACTAGGATGTGGACTGCAATAGTAGTAAGAAAAGCTGAGTACAAAACTCAGATTAGGGCACATCTCATTGAGTGGCCAGGGAAGGATAGCACCACATTATCTTCCTTTTCTTCAGAGGGGTGGATGCAGTCCTGCTGTATAGTTATTGAGATGAATTTGTTTGATGTAGGATGCAGGTGATTGTATAGGCGGGAACCTAGCCCAAAATAGATCATGACTTCCTGTGATGGTTAATCTTGTGGGCCAAGTTGGTCAGGCCATGGCACCCAGATATTAGGTCAAACATTATCCCAGATGTTTCTGTGAAGGTGTGTGTGCACATGTGTGTATTTAGATGAGACTAATGTTTAAATCAGTATTCTTTGAGTAAAGCAAATCATCCTCTATAAATACGGGTGAAGGCCTTCCTAGAAACAGACTAACCTGCTGTAAACTAAAAGGAATTCTGGCAGAAGGCTGCCACAGACTTGAACTGCAACTCTGCCCTGGGTCTGCAGCCTGCGGGCCTACCTGCAGCTTTTGGACTTGCCTGTCTCCTCAATCCCATGGGCCAATTATTTAAAATAAATCTGTGTATCTCTCTATAGACAGATGAAGAAAGAAAGGGGGGGAGAAAAGAAAGAGAGAGAGAGAGAGAGAGAAAGAAGGACAGGAAGGAAGGAAGGAAGGAAGGAAGGAAGGAAGGAAGGAAGGAAGGAAGGAAGGAAGGAAGGAAGGAAGGAAGGAAGGAAGGAAGGAAGGAAAGGAAGGAAGGAAGGAAGGAAACATCTCTCTCTCTCACACACACATCCTTTTGGTTCTTTGTTCTGTTTCTCTGGAGACGCCTGACATGTCATGATGACCCTGAAAAGCTGAGATTTGCATTTCCCGTCTTCCAATAGGCAGTCCAGTTCTACTGCAAACGGTTTCTCATTTGATGGCAGTTCTGAATAATCTCAATCAAAGAACAGGGGTCACTGTAACTCTATGTCTTTCAGTGAGGTTAAGGAGAAAGTCTTACCTTTTTCTCTTTAGTATAATAATGGATCAGCCCTCTGAGATATACCTGACATGCTTTTTGGAGTCCAGGGCAGTGAGAGATAAGGTGCTTTGTTGCAGTGCATCCACGGAAAACGGAAAAAAGCAGACAGGTAAAATGGCTTTTTGATCTTAATAAATTCGACCTTTATTTAGCAGTAATTTTCTCTACAGTAGACATTATTTTTTCCATCCAGCCAAAAATAACTCATTTTAAGTTTGCCTGTGGTGCTCAGGCATAGAGGAAAGAAGGATAAACCATTGAGAATACTAGTGAGATCTCTTAAAAATGTTTACCATGTACTAGGGACTACCAATCACTTGGTAGGTGTATTCTCATGTAATCTTCATAGGGAGTTGAGATAAACCCCGTAAGTGTTCCCTGTTTACAGACAAGAAAAATGAGGCTGAATCATGTGTCCGAGGTCTCACGGGCAAAAAAAAAAAAAAGATGCTGTAGAACCAGGGCAAAGCCTCTTTCACTCTGAAGCTCCTTGTTAGCAAACCACTCCAGTAAATCAGTAAATGATTGCTCATAACAGTAACTTTTAATCTTCTGTTGAGCCAAAGATGTTAGTGAGCCATCAGGTTTTTTTTTTTTTTTTTTTTTTTTTTACCACATACTGGACCAAGCAGGAACTCTGGAGTCCAAGATTTCCAGATTTCCTTACTGAGATTTTGGCTGGATTCTCAACTTCTCTATGCTTGAGTTTCCTCATTTGTAAAAATACAGTCGTCCCCGCCTCCTAGGATTATGGTGAAAGTTAAGCGAGCTAATGCCCAGGGAGCCGCGGGCATGCTCTGGGATCACAGTGGCACCCCGGGAAGATGAGCCCGCCCCTCTGGTGCTGGTGGAAGTCTGGGTAAGGAGTAGGAGGGAGAGGAAGAAACCTGTCCTCCCACGGGGCAGCCAGGGCGCGAGCACGCGCGCAGCATCTCCGCTTGTCAAAATGTTGCCTCATCGACCCCGCCTTGAGCGTGGGTGTGCCTCCCGGTGAAACAGTCCATGAATATAGTGAGCTACACAGAGAATCTCCGCGATGGCCTGAAAGGACTGACGTGTCTGAATTCTGACCGCTTTGTACAGAGGCCGTCTGGGTAGTTCGTCACAAGAGCAGTCACTTCCTTAATGAGGAGATCACGAATATGACCCCACTGTTCTGGTTAATATACCTGACCAAGCCTGCAAGCTCAAAATGGGTTAGTGGTGAATCTGCTATTGAATTCCATCTTTTCCCCCATGGAGGCATCTGGGGGGCTTGAATGGCTCACCAGGGTCTCAGCATTGCTGACACATGGGAAGGGTCTGTGTATCCCTTTTGCAGTGGTAAGACACCAGGATGGCAGAGGCCACCACCCCTGCCCCCACTCCCTGTCTCCATAGCCACACAGACAACACTCGTGGATTGTATTATCTTCCACGCATAGCCAAGACTCTGCTTCAGAGTCTTGTTCAAAACACCACTCCAGCCAGCCATCAGGAATCGATCACAGCTTACCTCAGAGAGAGTACATGTTTGCCATCTCTTTGGATGGCAAAGAGTTGAAATCTGTTCAACTGCACAGAACTAATGACATCATAGTAAAACAGGCAAGTGTTTTGCCCTCAGGTTTTCAACTTGGGATCATATTAGGATAAAAACTTCTTTAATGGGAATCACTGACTTCTCAGTGGCTTTTGTTCAGGGAGAGAGCGCGCAATAGTTAAGAGTAGGTTATAAGACAGTAAGAAACAACTCTCTGTATCTCAGGCTAGCACAACATGGGCTTCCTTCTCATTCAAGCTACGTGTCTGCCAAGGGCTGGGAAGGGGTGGACAGAAGCTTCTGCACGTGCAGCTGCGGTAGCTCCAACACTCAGCCTCTGGGGCTGCTGGGACGGAGAGGAGGAGGCCTGGGGGTCTCGCCTCTGCCCTTCTGCCCTTCATCCAGGAGGAGCACATCCCCTCTCACAGCTCATGGGTCAGAGCTGGCCACGGCCACCTGCTGCCAGGGCTGGGCGGGCTCATCTGCCCAGGAAAGGAGAGCCAGATACTGGCACATACTAGTAAAGGGCACTGTAGAGGGGGAAGGCTGTTATAAAGCTGACATCACCTTCTTAAAAAGCTTTTAGGTCCAAGGAGCAGCGTTAATGGGGATTATTTTCTCCATGGAAAATGTGCTGTTGTGTGTGTGTGGGGGGGGAGTAAAACCCTCTTACCTGGATCCCTCACGGGCAATGAAGATAGAAGAGCCATTTCCCCTGCTTTCTCGGTGAAGGGGCCATTTACTCCCTATGCGGTCTTGTTAAAGCATTATGGCTCCATTATCATAAATCTGCTGGAGAGAAAGAGTAGCAGGGAAGGCTTGGATCACATTTTTATGCTGAGCATTTTGGACTTCTTTAAAAAATTATCAAACCCAAGCCATCATGTGCCTTAAATACCCTCCGCTGGTAGCCTTTGCTAAGTGTACTTTGTCCAGGTGGGGAGGAGTGCAGGGTTGCGCACGACCCTCTGAAAGTGGAGATCACATTCTACGGGGCGTTGCAGTTTCCCCGAACGTGGCACTGACTACAGGGTGCATACGGTGCAGCTAAAACCTACCAGCAGGAGAGCGTCAGCGCTCAAGGTCTTCGATAATGACTGAAGCTGCAGCAATGAGCTGGCGAGTGCAGACGGGGTGACTGGTTCCCAAGGAAACCCTGTCACTCCCGGAGTCTACCCCATCAACAGGTAGAAAATCTATGTTACGGGTCTGATCGAATATACACCTTTGTTCAGGACTCACTTTTAATTCCTTGTCAACTAAGAGGTGTTTCCTGGGTGCACAGCTGTGGGCTTGCTCAGGACTGTGCCGAGGATGCACTGAAGCAGTGGAGTTTCCCACGGAGACTGACATCTTCCCAGAAGTCAGCGTTACCAACTAAAGCAGCCAAAAGTTACTATTCACACACAACCCTCACTACGTCTGCTCATTAAAGACATCTTTAAGAAGGTGGCAACTCACAGATCAAGAGAAACTGTTTGCAATTCATATACCTAACAAAAAACTTAAATTCAGAATGTATTACAAAGTTAAAAGAGAATATTTGCAATACATATATATGACAAAGACCTTTTATTCAGAATAAATTACCAAATGTCTACAAATCGAAAGCAAAAAACAACTCAATTTTTTAAAATAGGCAAAGGACTCACATATACACTTTGCAAAAGAAGTTAAACCAATAGCCAATAAGGACCTGCAGAGTTGCTCAATGTTATTAGGTATCAGAGAAATGCACGTTAAAACCATAATGAGGGGCCATTTCACTACCACAAGAATGGCTACCATGAAAAAGTCGGACAATACCAAATGTTGACAAGGATACGGAACAACCTGAATTCTCATACACTGTGGTGAGAATATAAAACACCACAACCACTTTGGAAAATGTCAGTTTCTTATGAAGTTAAACACACATCTACTATAAGACCAGTAATCCAACTCTTAGGCATATACTGAAGACCAACAAAAACCTGTCTACAATGAGACTTTTCAAGAATGTATTACAGTTTTACTCTCAACAGATCCAAACTGGAAACAACCCAAATGCCCTTTAATGAGAGAATGAATAAACGAGGTATAGTGTGTCTGTAGTGTGTACAACAGAATTATACTGAGGATTAAAAAAGACAAGTGATTGTTACATGCAGCAGTGGGATGGGTCTCAAACACATGCTGAGCAAGGAGTGCAGACAAAAGGGCTACATATTGCATGATTGCATTTGATGAATTTCAAGAACAGGCTAAACTAATCTGTGGTGAGAAAAATCAACAGATTGCCTATAGGAAATGGAAATGGTCTGGAAGTTCAAGAATAGGCAAAGCAGCCCTGGCTGCTGTGGCTCAGTGGATTGAGCACCGGCCTGAGAACCAAAAGGTCTCCAGTGCAGTTTCCGGTCAGGGCACATGCCTGCCTTGCAGGCCAAGTCCCCCACTGGGGGTGTTTGAGAGGCAACCAATCGATGTGTCTCTTGCACATTGATGTTTTTCTCTCTCTTTCTCCCTCCCTTCCCTTCTCTCTAAAAATAAACAAAATCTTTTAAAAAAGAACAGGCAAAGCTATTCAATGGAAATGGAGATTAAAGCAGGATTACCTAAAGGGGGTGGAAATGAATGAAAGGAACTTAATAGGATAAAGGAAATATTCTCTATCTTAATTGAGGATGCTGGTTACATGGATGTATAAATTTTTTTAAATATTTTATTTATTTGTTTATCTTTAGAGGGGAAGGGAAGGAGAGAGGGAGAGAAACATCAATGTGTGGTTGCCTCTAGTGCGTCCCCTGCTGGGAACTGGCCTGCAGGGAACTGGCCTGCAACCCAGGCATGTGCCCTGACTGGGAACTGAACTGCGATTTTCTCGTTCTCAGCCCTGCTCCATCCACTGAGCTACACCAGCCAGGTGGATGTATAAATTAATAAAAACACATTGACTTTGATCCTTCAGATCCACGGATTTCTGTATGTAACTTTCACCCAGTGGCAGGATGAATAGAAACTGTTGACGCATTGAGGCAAGCTGTGTCCACGATTAGTTTTCACATACAAACCCTTTAGTTTATCAGTCAAGAAAAGAAAAAAGGAATGAAAGCACAACCTGTTGAATTTAACGTTTACCAAAGTCTGAGTCCAAAAATAAACTTTTCCCTTGTTCTCAAACAAGGAGAATCAGACAAATTGCATTGCTCTCACCCCAAGAAATCACTGGGGAAAAAGTTCAAAGGGAGCAGGGAAGGCATCTCAGAGGCCTCGGCTCTGCCCCGAGGAAGAGCAGAACTCTCGCGGACTCCTGTGCCTTTGTTCTTCAACCAGGGTGCTTAAGGGACCCACCCTGGCTGGGATTAATGGAGCCCTGTGTTCTGGAGGAGCTGCTGCACACAGCTGGGTTTCTGGGTCTGCTTTCCCCTCGGCTGGTGCTCCAGGCAGGCGGCAAAGCTATTACTCAGAGCTTCTTAGCCTTAGCTGGAGCATGGTGGGGGCCCCGGCACTCTTAATCACGCCCTTTTGAACATGTGAAGCCCTTCTTTTTTTGCCAGGTATTGTTTTACTTATTTATTTGTTTGTTTATCATTTTTATGGGTGCTTTATTCAGATGACCAGCCATCTGAGAAGACAGCAGGCTTATACGCTAACAGACCATCTTCGTCGGGTATTATTTTAGCTTGTTAGGTCACAGGTTGCTGCGCACTGGGCTTTGTGCTCCAGCATCTTCTAACCCAGGTGAAGTGATTGGTAGGGGAAGAAAATCACCTGCTGATAGATGAGACCACTTAAGTTTTCATTAGAGCAGAAGTCATTCAGAGTCTCTCTAAAGTGATTTCTCTTTAAATTCTAAACACACGACCTACTAAATGCATGATGATTTGCAAATCAGTGATCGTCACATCACATTTGCTCAGTGGGCAAGGAGATTTGCTAACCAAGCTTTCTACTAAACGGAAAAACTTGAGCTTCTCCGAGGAATTCCGTGATTGATGTCACCCGGATAGTCAATCACAGTAGGAGACAGGTCTGGTCCAGAAGCCCCTCGGTGGGCCACACACACACACACACACACACACACACATATAGGATCAGATTTTCTAGACCTGTATTGAATCTATGCTCCTCCCATGGGTGGGAATTTGATCATCAGCACTTTATCCTGCATGTTAAGAACTGAAACTGAGATAGTCGCCCCCTCGATGAACACAGCCTATTTCGGGTCAGGTTCTGTCTGGATTTGAAAACATGTTCAGAAATGATTCTTGCCTTTAAGGAGTCACCACTTGTGTGGGAACAACTTTTCTATAAATCTGGAAAGAAGGCATTAAAGTCTGTAGGATAACAGGGTACTCAATTTACCCATGATCTTTCTTTCGTGTACTTGTAGGACTAGTGGGGAGTTATTTTATTTTTGATTTATTATCACTAAATTGCTACTTTGTTCCATCTTACATGCAACAAGGGATTAGGAACTCCCCATTCCTATCACTCACTGGTTGTGTGACTCAGGCAGGCAGGCTGACCTTTCCTTGCCTTAGCTTACGGGTTTGTGGAGTTGGTATAGTAAGTCTTGCCCTGAGTGACTGCAGTGGTCTGTTTTGGGAACTGAGTGAGATAAAGGGGTACAACAGTGCTTTGACAAGTGTGAAACGCAGCCCCGAGATGCTGTCGCTCAGGCCGGCCTGATGTAGGTCAGTGTGTCTACATTTGAGCATGAATAGCGATCCTGGGAGATTCTATGAAAATACAGATACTGAGCCCTACCTCCAGAGATTCTGAGGGTCTGCCACTCAGGATTCTGCATTTTAGGAAGTAGTTCTGATGCAGATGCTCCAAGAGCCCCACTGAGAATCAGAAGATTCCTCAGCAAGGCGTGTCTTTCCAGGGAGGTCCATGGGCCCTCATCTCAGGGCACTTGGCTTGGGTTTATCTGTGCATGTTCAGAAGTGACATCTCTCAGTTCTGGTATTTGCTCTGGACAGGGACCTGCACTCAGTGTGTGCTCAGGGGAAATATGCTGGCCTGCCCCACACGTTGGAAACTGTGGTTCTGCAGTGGGATGAGCTGGCCTGTAAGTAATCTTTGTTTCCCTTTTCTTTATAGCAACACAGAGTCTTCGGAGAAGAGGTTCAGAATGAACAGCTTTGTGTCAGACTTTGGGAGACCTCTGGAACCAGATAAAGTGTTTTCTCGCCAGGGCAACGAGGAATCCAGGTCTCTCTTTCACTGCTACATCAATGAAGTGGAACACTTGGAAAAGGCCAAAGCTTGTCCCCAGACCACAGCCCTCGACAGTGACGTTCAGCTCCAGGAAGGTGTCCGAAGCAGTGGGCCGCCCGAGGAGGAGCTGAACAGGCTCATGAAATTTGACATCCCCAACTTCGTGAACACGGACCAGAACTCCTCCTTTGGGGACGATGATCTTTTGATTTCAGAGCCGCCTATTGTTCTAGAAAATAAGCCAGTTTCCCAGACGTCACACAAGGACCTGGACTGAGAAACACACTCCGTAGTATCTTCCTGAATATTGTGGGGTGTGTTTGTGTAGCAAGAAATCCACATTCACCAAAATTGTGTGTGTGCGTGCACATGTGAGAGAGCAGAGAACCAGAGAGAGATGGGAAGACAAGGAGAGAAGGCTGCCTCTGCAGAGAGCTGATTAAGCTCAGTTTTTATGCCTTTAAACACATTTGAGGCTTTTGAGGGAATAAAGCATTTATGCTGTCTCATCTTTCTTGGTGAGAAACTTGGCCACATACTCAGTGTCATTGTTCTTGAAGGGGGGTTACTGTTCGGTGTCCCATCCTGGCCCTGCCTCTACCATGCTTTACCTTCAGCAGTTTGCTTTACTTCTCTGGGCTCCCACATTTTTGCTGTAAGACAAGGAGTTTGGAGCAGACGATCCATCCCGGCTCTAATATTTTGTGAATTAATGAGGCTGCATCCAGACAAGGTTGGGGTAGACACAAAGCTGTATAAACTAGGGCACTGGCTCCTATTTCTTACTGTAGGACCCCCAAATTTCTATGCTTTTCACTCAACCCTTCACTGACTCAGCATTTGCCAGGGGCCCGAGTGTCTACCAGGATGTCAGGACCCTCGTCTGACATATCACTGTGGGCAACGTTTCTGTTGGTTGTGCTCAAACAGCTCTTCTGAGAACCTCTGGCCACCCATGTGCAAATTTGGGGACACGCCTACCCCCTGCCCAGGAGTGCGTATCAGTCTGTGCTGCATCTCACGGTACTCCTGTCCCCAAGAAATGGAAGGGCGGTTGTCAGCTAAGTCAGGGAGGTGACTTGAGTGTCTATCTGTGTCTGGTCACACTTGTGCTATTGGCCACCAACTGAGTTAAGTGCTACTTGTGATGCTGTCTATTTACTCTGCAGATGTGTGGGTGACCATCGCCTGGCTAGTATGTGGCTTTGAGCTGAGATGGTGAGTGGGTTGTAAATAGGCCACCAACAGTTGCGCAGGTTGGCCTGGTACAACAGAGTAAGCCTGCACACTGGTATCAGAAATAATTTGGCTTTACACACCCAGGTCGCACGCATGGCCTGCTGCCAGTCTCTGGGTGGCATTTTTATTATGATTTTGTTCACCACCTGTCTTGCTTACGCTAAAAATAAATGTATTTGATTGCACAAGAATGTTCTTTGATTCTTTGTTTTCACACATCCAGCTTAATTTTCTTCTTAAAACGATTTCTTGTTTATAATGCCCCCTAACTTCCATCAGCTCTACGTTCCTAGTGGTCCAGCCTCTAGGAATTATTCCACTAAAAGAAATGCCTTTCGCACAATGTCTTTTGAGGAAAATATTACTCTTTAAATAACACTAAACAGAACAAGGAGTGGAATTTTTTTGTAACTAAAGCTGCTATAACACATTCTTGCAAATAGTTACTTGCTCTTTTTAATGGCTATTTTCAGGAAAGAGAGCAAGAGTAGTGAAGAAGTGATTTTATTAACATCTAGGGTAAATATTATTCATAATTTACTATACCGAGTATAAACCATGAGCTATTTCTTGTTAAGATTAAAAGCTTTTTAAATGGTATTTGACTTAGAAGTGATTAGGAGTCTGAAGGATATTTAAAAGTTGGATAAATACCCAGGACTATACCATCATTTTTACGCACTAAGGGTCTAAGACTGTACTCCTCGTGCGAGCTAACAGGCTAGCCTGGCACAGTTTCATGGATCTGACGGGAGACACAAGACTGACTCCTGGGTCAGGGCCAAGAGCTTGGTCACAGCACACCAGGCGGCATGTCAGTTCCTGAGTTCATTCCCTATTGCTGTTTGAACAAAACACAGCAAACTCTGTGGCTTAAAGCAACACAGATTTAGTCTCTTAGAGTTCTGGAGTGCAGAAGTCCAAAACCAGGCTGAAATCAAGGTGTCTCAGGGCGGTTTCCTCTGGAGGGTGTAGCACGGAACCCACTTCCTTGCCTTGGCTCATGGCCCCGGATCGCTGCGACCTCTGCCTGTGCTTTCCATCTCTGTCCCTCTGACAAGGACCGCTGGGATTGACTGCATAGGATCACCAGGGTAACATCCCATCTCAAGATTCTCAACCACGTCTGCAAAATGCCTTCTGCGGTATAAGGTAACTTAGTCACAGGTTCTGGGGAGCAGGACATGGCCGTGTTTGGGGGACATTAGCCTATCACGGTCTTTCATTTGGTCCTGGAGATTCATGTCCATCCCACATGCAAATGCATTTCTCTCATCCCAACATCTTCCAAAGTCTCAATATAGCACTGCCTCTAATTCCAATATACAGTATAAATCTCATCAGCTCAGAAGTCTAATCATCTAAGTCAGGTGTGGGTGAGAGACCCTGTGTGTCACCCACCTTTGGGAAAACTCCATCTGCGGGCCTGTAAAACTGAGAAACAAAGCCTTGTTTCCAAATATCTGGAGTGCCACAGACAGACACAGAACACTCACATCCCACACAGGCAGTGGCCCTGGCCAGGAATCCACTTTTTCTTTTTTTTTTTTTTTTTTTTTTTGCCTCAGCACTGTTAGAACATAACACTTGAACAAAACAACATTATTTGGAGAACTGAGTATCTGTGTTACAGGTGAGAGAACTAGGGCTCTGGGGCATTGAGTATTTTGCAAAGCACAGAGCTAGTAAGTGGAAGACAAGTAAATGATGAGCCTGTGGAAGGTTTGAATGATGCCTTCTGTTGGTTAGCATTTCTCTGGTACATGTTTTATCTCTCTCTAACCTTGGACCTCTATGTCATTCTTTTTAACTTTCAATCTATGTTTTAAATTTAAGTTTTGCTTTGTTTGAGGTAAACAAATGAAATCTATAAATCTGTCCTTTAACTTGCAAGTTTATTCCATCTAAACATTGTAATTCCTGATAATGTTTCTTTTCTAGTATTGTAGTTTGTGATGTTTATTTATATTGCTCTGTTATTCCTGCTTTATATCAGGCAGTCATGGCCAAGAGCATGGGGTCGAGAGTCTCTCTGGGCTCCGACCTGTCACTTGCTAACAGTGCAGGCTTAACCAGGACACCTGATCTCTTTGAGACTCGGTGTCCTCTACACAAAAAGGGATGACACCCATCTCCAAGTCTGTGAGCATTACGTGATAAAATATACAAAGTACTTAGAATGGTGACTGGCCTACCATACATGCTTCATTGTACTGCCTTTGTATGTATTCTCTTTTTAAGTACGTATTTTAGAGATAACTCCTGAATTTTAATGAAGGTAATAGATATTGAAAGTTACAATCTATTGTTTAATCTACCCATTAAATTTTATATATCAATTGTTATATTTTATTTTCATAAATTCTGTTTGGTTTTTTATTTATTTATTTTTTTAAAAAAATATATTTTATTGATTATGCCATTACATTTGTTCTATTTCCCCCCTCCATTCCCTTCCACCCTGCACACCCCCTCCCCCACCATTCCCCCCTTTAGTTTATGACCACGTGTCTCAAGTTCTTTAGATTCTATATTTTCCCTACTATTCTTGCCCTCCCCCTATCTATTTTCTACCTACCATCTATGCTACTTATTCTCTGTACCTTCTCCCCCCTTCTCCTTCTCCCACTCCCCTGTTGCTAACCCTCCATGTGATCTTCATTTCTATGGTTCTGCTCCTGATCTAGCTGTCCTCTTAGTTTGTTTTTGTTTTAGGTGTGGTTGTTAATAACTGTGAGTTTGCTGTCATTTTACTACACATGTTTTTTATCTTCTTTTTCTTAGATAAGTCCCTTTAACATTTCATATACTAAGGGCTTGGTGATGATGAACTCCTTGAATTTGATCTTATCTGAGAAGCACTTTCTAAAGCACTTTCCATTCTAAATGAAAGCTTTGCTGGATAGACCAGTCTTGGATGTAGGTGTTTGGATTTCATGACTTGGAATACTTCTTTCCAGCCCCTTCTTGCCTGTAAGGTCTTTTTTGAGAAATCCGCTGACAGTCTGATGGGAACTCTTTTGTAGGTGACTGTCCCCTTATCTCTTCCTGCTTCTAGAATTCTCTCCTTCATTTTAATCTTGGCTAATGTAATGATGATGTGCCTTGGTGTGTTCCTTCTTGGGTCCAACTTCTTTGGGACTCTCTGAGCTTCCTAGATTTCCTGGAAGTCTATTTCTTTTGCCAGATTGGGGAAATTCTCCTTTATTATTTGTTTAAATAAGTTTTCCACTGGTGGCTATTCCTCTTCCCCTTCTGGCACCCCTATAATTCTGATGTTGGAACGTTTAAAGATGCCCTGGAGATTCCTTAGCCTCTCCTCCTTTTTTTGAATTCTTGTTTCTACATTCTTTTCTGTTTGGTCATTTTTTTCCTCTTTCTGGTCCACTCCTTTGATTTGAGTCCCAGTTTCCTTTCCATTACTATTGGTTTCCTGTGCATTTCCATTCATTTCAATTAGTTTAGCCTTCATATGTTCCTCTAATTTGTGACTAAAATCAACCAGTTCTGTGAGCATCCTGATCACCAGTGTTTTGAATTGTGCATCTGAAAGTTTGGCTATTTCTTTGTTGCTTAGATTTATGGGCTCTGGGGCTCTGAGTTTTTCTTGAGCCATGTTTTGATCTGTTCATGACTGTTAGGTATGAGGAGCAGAGCCTTAGTTGTTCACCAGGGCGGGGCCACCCAGGTCGCTGGTTTGTGACGCTGTAGGTAAGGGCGGGTCAGAGAGGGACAATGGCGGTCCCCTCTGCCATTTCCTGCTACTGGGGCCTGCACGGTCCATCTCACTGCTCGCTCCTTCACCAGTTTATCTGCACGCGAATGTGTGACCGCGGTCAGCCCTCAGTGGGTCCACTGCCTTGCGCCCTCAGTGGGTCCGCCCACTTCTCCACACCTGGGATCCACCTACAGCTGCCGGCGCGCCTGGGTCTCATGCACCTGGGTCTCCTGCACCTGGTCTCCTGCACCCGGGTCGGTCTGGTGGATCTTTCCTGCCTGACCCTGCTCTGCTGCTGGCTCTGCCCCTCTTACAGGTTTGGCGGAAGGGTTCGTTGTTGTCAGACTTCCGTGAAGTTCAATTTTCTGTGGTTTTGGCTGCGTTTTTGTTACTAAAACTTTGTTGTTTTTAAACTTGGTCGTGGGAGGAGGCACAGTACTTCCACCTACGCCTCCATCTTGGCGGAAGTCTTGTTTGGTTTTTTAAATCTTATCTGTTCTATTTCACGGTGTTCTGATTTTTTCATTACATTTTCTATCATGTATTTTTTATAATGATGCATCCATACTTATTTCAGGTTCTCTTTTAGATTATTTTATAGTTTTAGATTCTGGAATACTAATCATTCTGGGGTTTAAGAGTTTGCTTCTTCTACTCACAATTAATTATTTCTGGCTGTTCTTAGTCGTGTGAGTGTGTGTGAGTGAGTGTGTGTGTATGTGGAGTTAGTTGTGTGAGTTTCTCTTTGCACTGTATTATTTTTTTTCTACGATGGTCCCATGAACCCTGGTTCATAAAAGTTTCACTAGAGAATAAATTGGTGTTGCTTATCCTCGGCTCCAGGTGATCTGGTCAGTCTGGAATTGCGTTATTTTTCACTTGGAGATCCTGCATCATAAGTTGAGAATGAGTCTGGGTCTCATACCCACATGAAGCATGAGTTTAGGGTTTAGACTTTTTAAGGGAGACTTTTTTCCTAGAGACCCAGTCAAACCGGTCTCCTCACCTCTTTCCTGTGTCAGTGTGTGGAGGTCTTTGAGTCTCCCTTTCATCGAAGGCAGCCCTTTCCATGACTTCCGTGCAGGGGGTCTCAGTGGAGTAAGAGTGTGTTTCAGGTGTGAATCCTTTGTTCTGAATGGACATTATGACACTATTCACTATGCAGATTAAAACCCCTCCCCTCCAGGGCACTGTGGCATCAGCCCCCGAGCTTCCTACTCTGCCTTTAAGTCTCCTGTTTATTTCTGTCACCTGCAAACTTCTCTTTCCTTCATAGTTAACATATGGGTATTTTTGTTGTTGTGTTTTTTCCAGTATTACTAAGAATTTTACATTTCAAAGAGACCCAAATTAGCTCAAATAACCATGTTTCCAGAACTGAAAGCTTCAGTTCTAGAGTATCTGTTAGATTCTTTAAAAAAATAACCTCTCAGTATA